TATATATATATATATATATATATATATATATATATATATATATATATATATGCACAATAATACATCATTTAAGTAATTTATCATTAAAATTCTTTATAATTATTTTTTATCCATATTTATGTATATATTCCAATATATACAAATATAAAATACATCAAAGAGCGTCATAATGAAAGTTTTTTACTCAATAATAATAATAATATATTTATTTGATGCGCAAAGCACTCTTGGAAAGCATGTCCTGATGTGCACTTCAATGATCTTATATTTAAAATTGTAACTTATCCCGAAATACACATCAATATGGGTGGCATATACAGATTGTCTGATGCAACGTGTACATCTGTTTGTATGAAGATAAAACTCATTGAGTCGATCAAAAATGTCTTATATTATTTAGCGAACAATCATAATTATTTGAATATTAATTAAAGAAAATTAACAAATAAGTGCATGTAGGCAGTATTATAATATACACCTTCACTGTCCACCATTATGCACCGTCCGCCGTTGCTAAGAAATTCTCAATAAATTGAGACATCTTGGATGAAACTTTGCCTAAGGAGTTTTTCTTATCACATCACCCGCAGTCATTAACCAATTTTCTTTAGCTTAACGAATTCTATCTACACACAAGCAAACATACGAATTGCATCACAAACACCTTGTATATGATAATAATCAACCTATTAGGACTATAGAATTCGTAATTTTTGTTTATATAATATAAATAAATGCAAATGTGCTTTTAATCATATTATTCCTTTCTTAGACAAGTTATCAGATCATACTCAACACTTTAACTATATTTACAAGACAAATGTTAGACTTATGAAAAATTTAGACCTTTACGAAAATATATGACTTTTCAATAATATGTTGAATAAAGATATTAGTTTGAAAAATACATATTGAAAGTATTGTAATATTTTGTCGAATAAGATAACAAACAATTAAAAGTTAGATGCTTAAATTATTTTCTTATACAATACTAACAGTGTGATAAAACTTATAAAATAATGAATCAGTAATTGCAAGTAAAACGTAAAAGATTGTGAAAAGAGCTATATATATATATATATATATATATATATATATATACACTTTCGAAAAAAAAAATATATATATA